AGGTGAAACGTCTTCAAGCAACTTAAAGAAGTCCAGACGCTTTTCTTTCCAAGCTCCTTAAATATTCAGAATATTACAGAGATTAACTATATATGATGTAAACTGTAAAACTTTGTTAATTTCACTATAGAGGATGTACCCTACAATAATATAAAACTCCAACAGTCAAATAATACCATATTTCTAAGCTTTTCAGGGCCGAGTACAATAACCTCAGTTTGATCTGAATTAAGAAGCAGAAAGTTAGCGGCCATCCAGGTCTTTATGTCTTTAAGACATTCCTGCAGTTTAACTCATTGGTGTGTGTTATCTGGCTTCATGCACAGATAGAGCTGGGTGTCATCTGCATAGCAGTGTAAATGCAAGCTTGTATAATGTAACAGAACTGGCACTAGCATTTCAGCTGCATTAGTCACAGAGTTAGAACGATGGAAAAAATGGATTTTATTCTGACCTGATAATAAATGAGACATAATTACTGTCGTTGTTCTCATATACTGATGACAGAATGACTGTAAAAGCACTCAGGTTAACTGTTTCTAAAAATCTGCAGTTGAATTCGCTCCGTGCTCTGACAGCCACTTTGGAGAATAAACGGGATGGGAGGAGTCGGAGGAAAGTTCAGGAAACACAAGTTTTCCTCGTCTCAGAGTTGACTCGGCATGGCTAGCTAAACCTGCTTCCTTCAACAGTGCCCAGAAATATGGTTTAATAGGCACATTTACACTCTTAGTCTCAGTCATCTCTTTGTATCATAGACTAGGGCTGGAGCGGGCGTTTTGGTGGCATTTCTTTGGCTACCAAGTGAAGTAGTGAGAATACGTTTTGCAGTTTAAAACTAAACACATAGAATCCTGTTTCCACACTTAGCCAACAAACACACACTCAGTGGGAAAACCACAGACGAAGCCCAACGTCCCAACCTCACCAACATTTAGCTGCTTTTTCTCCTCACAGTTGTGTGTCTGTCCTCTGAATGGAAAGGTGGGGTCTTTAACAGTCATACAGGAAGCTGCCACTTCATCTGCTGCCTCTCTTGGCAGGTGATGCTGAAGGACATGGAACACAGCAAGAAAACCCTCGAGGAGGAGTTGCAGAAGACCTCAGAGGTCAGAGGCCAGCCTGCAGCCTGTGGAGACGCGCAGTCTCAAGTTACATCTTTATAACTGTGGGATATGAGCGTGGGGTCAAAGTTGAATGGAAATTATTTTTGTAGTGAAACTAATCAAACTGAGTCTGCTGATAATGCCGGCTGTTTTTTAGTTGATGAATGATTAGAAATGGTGTTGTTGTGCAGCTTCTCGATGTCGTAGGACAGTTTAAGTATGAGAACCAAGAATGTAAAGATTTCTCAGCTGGTAAAATAAAATAGCTAATAACATATTCATATGATCATCCTGTTGTATTTAGCAATGTAAAATACGTCTCACTGGCAGCTGAATCATCTGAAAACATGGACGAAGACTGAAGGCAGCGAGTGAATCCTTCTGTCATTTCTCCTAGAAAGCCTGTCTGACTGTCGAGGAGAACACTCGCCTGAAGAGTCGTCTGCAGGCGTCTGAGGCGGTGCATCGGCAGGCCGGCAGTGCTGAGCAGGACTATGAAGAAGTCATCCAGCTGCTGGAGGCTGAGATCAGAGACCTGAAGAGCCAGCTGGCCACCAAGAAGCAAAGACGGGGAGCAGAGTCCATGCAGGTACAATGATGTCAGAGTCGTGGCCCACAGCCTTGTTCAGGGCCACTGACAGGAGAGCCAGAAAACCTCATTTCAGCCTTGAAATTTGGGGAAACATCTGTCTGAACATCTGTCTGTATTTTTAAATGCATCTTCACTGTACTCTACATCTTACACATCCAATATGTTCAGGCATTAGGTCAAAGGTCATTGTACTGTATAGTGATACATGATGCACTCATGCACCCAAAGAGTTGTCTACGTGACACACGTACACAAGCTGAGTGTGCTGGTGTGTGTTTGTCAGGAGGAGGTGGGCGAGCTGAAGAGGAGGCTGACGACTATCGACTGCCAGCTGAAGAAGTCCGAGCTGAGCAGGAAAACTCTGGAGATCTCCAACAAGAAACTGCTAGGCTTTGCTCAGGTACCGCTCTGACTGGTGTTCCTTTGGATGCACACAGAGCTGTGAACAGGCAGGAAGCAGACACCTGCAGTCCCTGAGTCCACTCTGTATACCAGAGTGTTGTATTGGTCTCACAGCTAAACCTCGGTCCGAACTGGGACAGGACAGCGATCTGAAGCTGTTACCATTGCTTCTTATTCTCAAAGTGTTATCATAGCTTTCTACAGTTGTTTTGCACAACACACTCAATTCAGCCTTAAGTATTAATAAAAATACAAATTCTACGGAGTGTTAATGTGGGGAATATAATCTTATACTGATTGATAAGAACTCAGTTATCAAAGCTGAAGACCGTGTATCTCTAAAATAGAAGCTTTTAACAGGTTCAGGAAAAAGTGCATAAAAATATATGAATAAAAACTGAAACAGGTGAATGAAAGGCTTGAGCGCTGCGTGACGTGGTTAACTGTCAGCATCTACAAAGAGATTCAATATCATTGAAAAGTGAAGGTGGTGAAGCAGCAAAACAGCTCGCTACACAACTGTAGTCACTGAAGCAGGTGACAGTGTAATCACCACATTCTCGCTGGTTATTTTTCCAACAACTTGTTATAAGAGATGCACACACTTTGATGGAGAGGGGAGCTGACGTCCCCTCTCCATCAAAGCCTTTCTTTGCTAATGTGCTAAATATCCCAGGTTAGGGGGAAGACGATCAATAACTGAGCATCCACACAAAACTGCAGAATGGTCTCAGACGTCTGTTCTTCTGATTGTCAAACACACGTTAGCTTCCGTGATAATAAGGATGCAGTTTGTGCCATCTTTCCCTTTAGTTGTGGTTAATCAACAAGAGTGATGTGTTCACCACCTGTTTGTATTTCATGGTCTTCCCTGCAGACACACACACATACAGACTGAAGGTTGTTTGGCAACAATGCTATTAGTAACTGAGTGCCACTACAGAAATGATGTCGTCATTCAAACTTATTAACAGCTCAGTGTTTCCCCCAGGACAACATTCAAGTGTAAATGTCAGAGAAAAACAGATTATGGGACCCATGTCAGCCACTATGCATGTGATGGTTTATTTTGCAGTTAAGACTATTTAAGCGAACCTGTAGATTTATTAGATGAAGTAGGAAAATGCATAGAGCTGTACATAACTGTTGCATTATTTGACCAAAGGCTTGAACGTTCCTTCCATGGTGTGGAGGCTGCATGTGCAGCTCTGAGATTTCCAGCTCTGGTCTTTAAATCTAGTGACAGGAAAATAAGCTGATGGAGTCAGTCTGCCCCCAGTGATGGAAGTGTGCTACAGCTCTGTCCACAGCCATAAACCAGCTGCTGCACAGGCTGCTCCACCAACATCTGTCCTAGGAGAATTGGCTGTGGGTGGATGTTTCCTCATATCCATCGGTGCAGTCAGTGATGGTGGAAGGATGCAAGGTGCAGGAACCAGTCAGACACAGGGGTGTGCACAAAGCCATCAGCATAGAAACCAGTTTGAAAAACACAACGAGGGGAAGGTGCAGCCTGTGGCTGATAACACTAATAAGTGACGAGGTCCAGCAATCAAGCTCTTCTCTCTGGTTCGCTTCATTCTGACAGCACAGAGAGACCCGGTGTGTGTTACTGCTGCTGGCGCTCGGCCTTACAGCTGTCACATTATCTCTTTACAGAACGTCCACAAAGTGCTGACCACGCCCAGCCTATTTGGAGAAGGGGGGTAAGAGAGCGCGACCTTCACCTTGCAAGCGCCTTACAGCTTTGCAGTCGAGTTCCTGCTCCAACTGTCCTTCTGCTTGTGTGTCTGTCTATATCAGGAGTAACAGGTCATCTCCTGCCACGGAAAGCCCCGACATCCCATCACCAATTCCTGACCCAGCCTTCCAGCTGGCTGTGGAAGCCAAAGAGCTGGTGGAGGGGGTGTGTACGCTCACAACTGATAAAGGTACAGAGCTCACTAACCCAGAATAAAAAGCCTGAACACTGTGTGCATACACTACGTGGAAACACCATGTTTGGAAGGAAGGACAAAGGTTCAAACTGCAAACACTTTCAGATAATGTGATGAAAATTAGTTTTCTTTTGCCACGGCTTAAGAATTGATGAACTAATTATGAGCCATCCTTTAGCAAGAACTCTGCTATAATGGCGTCAGTATAAAATATATATACAAAGTCTTTAGTGCCAAATTACTCCACACGCTTCACCTCATGCAGTATAACAGACGTGGATGTAACCTGCAGCCTCAAGGCAGTGATATATTAAAGCAGCCAGTGTGCAACCACTGCTGTCCATCGTTCTGCAGCAGATCTGAAGTGGAGCAATGAAACATGGATAATATCTCATCCTTACTCATCAGGCCGATCCGCTGAAGTTCCTTTTTCACAAAGGTAGAGAAAGCAGGGTCCCAGGACATAAAGTGGTGACGATGATTAAAAGCTGTTTCTTTAGAAGCTGAAACTGTTCTGGCTTCATGTTCAGTTCTTTTTAAATACAGCTGAGATTGAAATCCAAGCTGTGACCAAAGCAACACTGTTTCAAATGAGTTACTTTGTGTGTAAGTTTTCAAAAACACGGCTTTGAGGCTTACCTGTGACAGAAGCATCGCAGCACGGGTCAAAGGGAAGCAACAGCTTGTGATTCAGACCTGCAGTGACAGTGTGAGCCACTAGCTGCTGCCCTCACTGCTCACAGCTGAACCAAAGACCTGGTATTTTCCCTACCTCTATTTGTGTTTGCTTTATCCAAAGGGTTGTCTTTCCTGCTCGCAGCAGGCACCGCTGCCTCCTATTACCATACTGCTATAGACTCAAGTCTTTCTGTCCACCTCTTCTACAGAACCGGTGAGTGCAGATGCAGCATCAGCTCTAGATGTCAGTCCTCATCATGTGTGAACAGCACCAAGCCAAAGAGGACTGAGTCCAGACCTGGGCCGGGCAGAAGACCCCCAACGAGCAGCTGACCTCGCCATGCACTTCACCACAGTCCGCAGCAAACACACCATTCTACGACAGGACACGACGACAGCGACAGTTAAACCCTCACTGGGACAGACTGACCACGTTTTAATGCCAAAGCCTGTTTGTGCACATGAAATTAGTGTATTCCCTCCAATTACTCCAAATGCTCCTCACAGGGCTCAGCAGTGGGATCTGCTGATTCAGTCTCATCCTGTCAGCAGCACATCACATGTACAGAGGTCTCTGTGAGAAGTGCTGCTGCAGTTCTCTAGTGTGTTACTCTTACAGCAGGTGGTACAGGTGGAGCTGCATGACCAAGTCCTCCACACACTCCCACAGTGTCACTGCTGTAAACCTTGTTAATACTCTTGCCAACCTCTTTTCTATCCTCACAAACACAAACTCATCTCCACTCCGTAAAAGGAGGACTCGTTACTTGGAAAGCTGATGTGTACAGCGTGTCCCCCTGTGTCAGAAACTCCATGACAAGTTAGCTCGTCTGCTCTAACACAACATCTGCCATGCTTCCTTCCCTCGCGCCCTTACTCACACTGTCATGGAAGACAAGAAATGAAGGTTTGAAGGTGCAGCGTGGATCATCTTCATCTCATTGCCTGGTTCATGTTGATGTGTCTCCTGCGTTCAGGAGTAGTGTACCTGTTGCCGTAGCTCCAGCTGTGTAAAACTGTGTTTGGTATTCTGTGTAGGCAGACCTCAGTCTTAGGCTACATGTTGAACATAGATTTGATTTCTACAGACATCTACAACTGCAGTGACAATAATGACATGTCCTTCAACCAGATTGCATCTTTGGTGTGGCCTCATTCTTTCTGTTACTGTTTTATATTAAAGGAATAACTGATGACCGGACTGGTGTCGAGTTCGACTTTTGTTCAGCATCCAACAAACAGTGCTGCTCACAGGGGGCGATTTCACCACAACTGCTTCCCACAGAAGCCCCTCAAAAAGCAGGAAACCAGAGCTGCTCACAGTTTGTGCACGAGGGTGTTCAGGAAGCGGATACTGACTAATGACGTGACGTTCTAGGGTCATGTGTGGAAATCGTGGTTGCAAATGAGGGGGCTGTCTTGATCTCTGGCTCCTCCTGCAGGCATTTCTAGTTATATTGATGAGTTACCCCTGGGAAGATAAACTAAACACAAACACACAGCACTGTGCTTTCAGTGTGAATCATTTACTTTCATCAATCAACAAAATGCAGTGAATGAACAAAAGAGAAATCGCATCAGTGTTTGGTGCAACCACCCTTTGCCTTCTTCTAGGTCCACGTGCACAGTTTTTACTCGGCTGGTAGTTTGTTCCAAACATCTCGGAGAACTAAGCACAGATCTTCTTTTGCACAGTGCTGTATGTGCGGATGTTAAGTTAAAAGTAGTTGAGCATAGGGGAAAAAGTGTTTATATGAATGAGGCTAGTTGTAAAAAAGTACTCAGAGAAGTCAAACTGAGTGGAAAGGGAGTCCATCTACCATTTAAACCCTCACAGGAAGTCACTGTGGGGCACTTACACAGCACCAGAGACATGTGAGGCAATGACCCAGTGTGTGTGGTTTTGCTTCTTTACTGTCATGTTAAAGGAAAGGACCCAAAAATACACAGAGGGAGCAATCAGGGAATGGGAAACAGGAGGGAAACACAGCTGGGGCAAATCAGGGCTGACGACACAAAGGAAGCAAAACCAGACGCATTAACATCAGACATGGACTTTCAAAGTAAAACAGGAAACACAGACTGAACTTACAGACTCACAAGCAGGCACTGCAACAGAGGGAACAGAGACGTGGGACCAGGGCGGACACAGACTCTGACTGGACACAGAATAGAGGGAGTATGGAAACCAGAACCTGAGAACAACATAAACACCAAGAAGAGCTGGGGAAAAATAGAAATGCAAAACAGAAACCAGAACCTTCACAAAAATAAACCAAGAGAACACAAATAAAGGGTACAAAACAGAAACCACTGAGTCAACGACCCAGGAACCCAACATTTACATATTTTACATATTCACAGTGGATTTCACATCAAACAAGATGTGACTGAAAGTAACCAGGACAGGTCCCCACCTTATTCCATGACAACCTGAGCCCCATAAAAACAGTGAGTGCTCATGTCCATATCACTGATTCATTGATACAATTCGCTGTATCAGGGTGTTGTCCTTCAGAAGAGCCCACTGCCATCAGTATAGAAATCTTCCTTCCAGGGATGTTGCTAGGATCAATATTGGGCCTTAACCATGAAATCTTTGGACTGTTCACTGAAGTTGTTTATTATTGTTATAGTAAAGGATTAGCTCAAGAACAGTGCATAGAGAGCTTCGTGGAATGGGTTTCCATTGCCGAGCTGCTGCATCCACGACTTACATCACCCAGCTGTAAAGCACCACCCCGCTGCATTATACAGCAGTGCAGACGTGCTCTCTGCAGTGACCGGTCTGGGTTTGGTGGTTACCAGGAGACTGTGCTTATCAGACTGTTAACTTTGGTGAATGAGGAATTCTGATGTGATGTTTTGTTTCAGGCGTGGGCTCGCCCCCTTAGTTTCAGTGAAAGGAACTCTTCAGCATGCCAAGACATTTTGGACAATTTCATGCTCATGATTTGTGGGAACAGTTTGGGAATCGCTCCTTCCTGCTACAACATAACTACACACAAGTGCACAAAGCACTTCTATTAAGACATCAATGAGTGAGTTTGGACATGACCGGCTCTCACAGAGTCCTGACAGAACACCTTTGGGATCATTTAGTGCTAACTAGGCCTCCTCTGACCTCACACATGTGCTTCTGGGAAACAGATCAGAAACACACACAAACACACTCCTAAATCTTGTGGAAAGTCTTCCGATAAGAGTTGAAGCTGGTATAGCTGCAAAGGTTGGGCCAACGTCCTGTTAAACCCTGAGCATTAAAGATGTCACTCAGGTTTGTGTGTGTGAAGGAAGAAGAGTGAACACTTTTGGCATTGTAGGCAGTGTTGGGAAGGTTACTTTTAAAATGTATTCCACTACAGATTACAGATTACATGCCCCAAAATGTATTCTGTAACGTATTCTGTTACGTTACTCAATGACAGTAACGTGTTCTGAATACTTTGGATTACTTAATATATTATCATGCTTTTTACAGCTACATGAATGTGCTATTCATGTGATTTATTACTGTTACTGAAGGTCTGCGGCTCCTAACCGTAGTAAAGGGACCTCTGGCTAATACGTCGGGTTCGTGTCGGGCTCGTAGCTGAAAAATAGCTTTACTTTGTTGTCTGGGTCAAGTTTGCAGTGAGAGACAGAGAGAGGCGTTGAAAGGCTGCTGCAACAGAACTTATTGTTTCAGAGGAAACAGGAACACGGTGTACAGTCGAGCCTTAATAGTGTACTTACTCTTCTTGGCTGCAGTGGTTATTATTATATTTACATGCTTCCAGCTCCCGTTTCTGCTCGATGACAGCTCGTACTTTTCCTTTTTCTCCCTCCCTCGCTCACAGACACATCACGGGTACGGCGGTCCATCCTCCCTGCAGCACGGACTACACTGCCCATCAGGCTACATGCTTTAGGGCGATGCCTGTAACACTCTGCCTATTAGCTCAGCACAACAACATCAACAACAACAAAAAGGCGCTCTCTCACCCAGGAAACACACAGTCAGAGAGGCGGCACCCTGTAACCATGGCAACTGTAACGCTGCCACCTGGAACAACAGAACGTGTGACAGGTTGAAGGACTACTGCATATAAAACTGTTCAGTTAATACTACTTCATATCAGTTGATATAAGGACGAAAATAATGTAAATATGGTAAGAGAATGGTTAAGAGTTTATTATTTTTTTATTATTAACACTGATTATAGTGTACCTGCAAATACAGTATAGAAGGCACAATCAGACGTTGTACAATTTCAGTGAATGTGAAAGTGAATATTGCGTGAGAGCACCTTTATTCTTCAGCACAGTCTGAACTCTCTGAGGCAGCTTTGTCATTCAAGTATCTTCAGGAACAGTTCTCCAGACTTCTCTAAGGACATTCAAAGCTCTTCTTTGGATGTTTCTGCTTTTAGTTCTGTTCTCTATCAAGATGATCCCAGACTGCTTTAATAGTTGAGGTCTGGGCTCTAGGGAGGCCAATCCATGACTGATATTGTTCTATCCAGGTATGCGTTTACTGCACTGGCAGTGTATCTGTGAGCGCTGCCATCCTGAAATTCATTCATTTGGACAAGATCTCCAACAAACCCTGACAACTCACCTTGCTCATTACCACCTCATTTGACAATGATTTGAACTGGGACGTGAAAAAAAAGTGAAAAGGGATAAAGACTCGGGTGGCATGGTGGTTAGCACTGTTGCCTCACAGCAAGAAGGTCCTGGGTTCCCGTTCCTGTTATACATGACTTTTAGGACCTTCAAGCCTGTAGTTATATTCATTATCAGTTGGAGCCCCCTCCCCCCCGCATTCTTCTTCTTCTTTGGTGCAACCCTATAAATACAGTGCACCCCTTTGGCCTCTCCCCGCTTCTACAATTCCCCTGTGGGAGAGGTGGGTGTCATTTCTTTCCAGACACCGTACAACACACATATAATGTATATTTAGCCACCCTGATGTTTCTGATTGTGTGTCTTTAGTTCAATTATTGTCATCATTGTGCCTGACCTTGCTAGATGCTGTAAATGTAAATGTGTAGTACGTGTGTGCCACATATGTGTTATAGGCACAGTTAATGCTAGCGTGAATAGATAATTCTTGCTAGCTTGGGAGTTGTGGTGGGTGGAGCTAACCCTCTTCCCTACTTTGCATTTGGTTGTAGGAGCTGGAGTGAGCAAGTTAATTACTTGGAGGTCTTTCTTTCTTTTACCGTTCTGTCAGTCTGCCCCAGGGCAGCTGTGGCTACAACTGTAGCTGCCTCCACCAGTGTGTGAATGTGTGTGTGAATGGGTGGATGACTGGGTGTGTGAAGCGCTCTGGGGTCCCTAGGAGGGACTAGTAGAAGCGCTATACAAATACAGGCCATTTACCATTCATTATCAGGTATGTCGGATTTCGTGTTGTGGTTTTTTTTAAATCTTGTGTCAAATGTAAGTTTGTACTTTATGTTTAATGTAAAATAATAAATGCAGGCCCTTTTCTACAATTCCCCTGTAGGAGAGGAGCTGGAGTGGGCAAGTTAATAACTTGGAGGTCTTTATTTATTTTACCTTTCTTTATCAGACACAACGCAGGAACACTGGTTACATTAGCCCTGCCACAGACTGGTGACCTGTCCACGGTGTACCCTGCGTCTTGCCCAGCTGGGATAGGCTCCAGTGCCCCCGTGACCCTGAAAAGGATGGGTGGAGGGAAGAAACACTCTTTTTGCCCAAAGACTTTGAAATAATAATACTATTAATAATAACATATCAAAAAGCTTCTAATGACGCTCCTGTACATCTGAAACAGCTTTGTGCTGATGTGCAGTGAGCCATCGCCCGGAGCCAAACCCGTTCGTGGCTCTATCTTCGTTAGAGGAGCCCACAGCATCGCGGACACAAGCCAATATGGCGGCGTTAAACCAGAGGGGGCAGTAACGCAACTCAGAGGCACAGAGGCACCCTAAAGAAGAAATTGTTCCGGACACGTGGTGCAAAGTGGGTGTGTTCATTGCGCTGATGTAAACACAAAATACGCCTCACAGCTCGACGGATAATCGTGGTGGACTGAGCTGCTGAGGTTAACCCAGAAAGAGTCGTCGGCGGTGCGGAAAACCCTCCGTGTACGTCGCGTGTAATATGCTCTAAAGCACCGAGGGGGGCGCCATGGATTTCTACATCAACCTGAAGGTGAATTTCAGGGGAAATTCCAAGAA